ACTCACCGTCCTAGCACAGAGCAATAGAAAAAACATGGAAGAAATTTTAGATTTATGGGACAGGCAGGAAACTGACATTTACTGGCTCTGTTCACATCTCACTGAAGAGAATTTAGTCGTAGGCAACCTGTAACTGGAAGGGAGATGTAACAAGACTGGTAACATATATACCCAGTTCCTATGCTGTTAATATAGAAGAATGGATTTTAGAAAATTTAGTAGACTCTGCCAAGGTATAATTATCCTGAATCTAGTCATTGTACTAAAGTCTAATTAATTGTAGTAGTTTTCTTTTTCAACTAGAAACTCTTGGAATTTCTATATTATCAATAAAAAAAGAGGTTTTTTTCAATATTTTTCTATAAAATACTTTTTTTCCTCGTTATTATATTTTCTAGAAACTCTAAGACAAGTTGAGTAATAATAGCGAGAAAAACCGCTAAAAGCATCTGTAATGGAATTTCTTTAGTTAACATAGTTCCAGTATTTTGGCATTTAAAATAATATCTGATATTATTTTAGAACATCGTCTTTATTTACTTTAAGAGGTTTCCTCCAATTCTTATTTTTCTTAGAGCCTCCATTATAATAAGAATGCTGAAATTTATCAAATATCTTTTCATCATTTAATTTTAAGATCATAATGTTTTTCTCTTTCAATGTATTCATCTAAAGAATTGTGTTGACAGATTTCCTGATAAGGAAATATCTGGAATTAATTTTATTTATTCTATTCCCTGTACTTTTGTTTTTTATAAACTGCTGGTATATCAAAGATACATGCTACTATTTAAATATAAGGCAGTATTTTTTAAAGAATTTTTGCATCTGTAGTCCCTTTTCTTTTTACTTTTTGGGTGCTTTCTTAATGCATTTGGAGTTTCATTTATGCAGGATTAATAATATGAATTAGGGAAATTTATGATTCTATGGTCAAGGATAATGTAAAAATAATTGGAATTATGCGTTCTTTAAAAGTAAGGTACAACTCAATTGTGAAGACATCATGTCTTTATCCTTTTTAGGGCATGTAAACTTTCATTTACTTTTCTCATCTCTTATTTGTTGTTTGTCGAACTTTCCTCTTTTTCTTAAATAAATTCTGGCAACTTTTATTTTGCCAGAATAATATTTCATTTCCTCTAGATTTTCAAATTTGTTGCACCGGCATTACAGTTAGCTTTTATAATTTTTCTAATACTTTCTTTGTCTTTGGTTATGTATCTTTCTCATTTCTTATACAATTTTGCTCTCTCTTTTTTCTTAATAAGTCTTATAGAAAGTTCATCTGTTTTGTAATTTTTTTCAAAGGACTGCTCAAAGAAAGTATTTATCACTTTTATTTATATCTATTTAATGAGTTTTAGCTTTTTTATTTCATAACCTTTTTTATATTTTATTTTATTTTGAACTGTGTTCTTTTTTAAAAAAGGAATTTGTAGTTATAAATGTTTACCTGGATACAGCTTTTGCTGTGATCTATAGGTCTTAGTATGATATTTTTTAGCGTTTCTGGCTATAATTTTTCAGAGAGTTTTTATTTCTATGGACCAAACATTATCTAATTAATTTTCAGCTGATTAAGATTTAGTAGTCACATTTCAAATGTTTATTTCTAATTTTATTGCCCCAATATCAACAGAAGTACCCTATAAAATCTTTACTTGAATATTTTGTTAAGGTATTATTTGAGGCCAAATAATTTTTTAACATTTTATTAAAAAGAATATTTCTTAATTAATGGACATGAGATTTTATTTATATATCTATTAGTCAAGTTTTATTGCATTATTCAAATTCTCTCTGTTATTGTTTATTATTTTCATAAGCCACATTGCTTTAAGACTTCTATTCCAAGCTTTACTTACCCTAGCAAAAGTAATCTATTGTCTACTTAGAATTCTTCTGGTGCCCCTTCAGATTATCTCATTCTTTTTCTCCTTTCAAATACTCTTGACTTTTAGCCTAGGGATGGAGATAGGGGAAAGAGAAAAATACAAGAAAATAGCATTGTAACAGTGGTCTATGTGAGACCGTTTTATTCTGGTTCCTTCACTTGGAAATAGTTTTTTTAGTTTACATACAAAACCTCCTTCAAGCTTCCTTACTGCCCTCTTCTGATCAATGATATAATACACAGAATATTCATAGGTAACTAGTTACATGTCCAGCCATACCATGTATTCTTTAACATAGACTATTTCCTTTTAAAGGAACTATGTCGCTGTCCTTAAATTATGACATTAAAAATATATTAAAGCAGTTTAGTAATGATTTTTTTTTAATTTGGTAATCATTTTTTCCTGCTGGTAATAAAATTCTAACCACATTTAGTAAAATCAAATTTGAAAAATATTATATTAATAATAATCACAAAAATGACAATATTAGATACAACATTCAGATCAAACTAAAAATTAGAAGCCTTTTGAAAATATTAAAAAGCACTTATAAAACTAAAGCATCTCCCTCCACATACTGTAAATAAGCTGCAGTGATCCACCATCACTCCTCGATGGTCCCAGACTTTTCATGCGGACTTGTTGGAACTTTTTGGTTCTGACTTTTATGGACCTACAAGGTCACTGTAATTCGGATACCAGTCAGTGATCTTAGATTCTGAGACAGCTTCTATTTAATCTAAGGTAAAGAATTTAAACTGATCGTAATGAAGTATGACAACCATATTTGACTGATCTACAAAGAAGAATATGTCATTGTATTAGTAATGGAACAAGCCACCCAATTAATTACTAGCAAATTGGACAGATTGCTTTGGAAGTGTTCCAAGAGAGAAAGTGCTTCTGGTGCTTTGCTTCAAAGGCAAGGCAGACCACACTTCCTTAATCCCCTGAGGCAGAGGAAAATTTGATTTTCCGTTCTAACTTTTATATGTCAGGATCTAATCCACAAAGGAGGCAGTCACAGCGTTAGTCCCCACATTTTAACTGGAATAGAGACAATAGAGAAATTAGCCATGGCAAAAAGTTTAACCTTTGCCTAAACTCATTGATTTCTTTCAATGCCTAGGAGAAAATGCTACCAGTGGATTTCAAGGTAAAAGTTCTCTTGAAGTACTAAATAATCGAGCAGATGTTTCCTCTCATTGCATTTGGGGTTGCTGGTGCAGAGTATGGGAATTATCTCATTATTATTACACTATGCTGAACTCATTCACAACTGCGAAGGGACCCTCACCCTACTTGTTTCATCTGAAAACACCATGAAGTCCTGTTTGGTTTGAAAAATTAAGTAATCTGATGCTAAATTAAATTTCTCACAGCACCTCTTGGTTCTTGCTGAAGCACCTTTCAATTCTAGTTCCTTAATCATGTTCTCAATAGCATTTAAATATAGAAAATAAAATAACTGCTAAAATGAAACTGCTCCCAAAGCCTATTATGTGGCCTATTTGCCTCTGTTCTATTGTGTCAAAATCATGAATTTCACTGAGAAGGAAAGATGTATTGATTTTGTTTTCTGGTCTCTAGAAGAGGAGATGTCAGTAGAAAAGCACCTCTCTCCATCACCAGAGGAAGCTAATCAAGGAAAAATGCCTCCTAGTAGTAGATACATTAATCTCCCTTTGGATCACGGGGCTGTTATGAGGTGTAACTAATCGTATCGCTGTGACTCATCTTGGTCTGTAATAACATGCTCCACAGTGACATCGGTGGTTGTAGGAGATGGATGTTGCATGTAAAGGAAAAAGTACTGTTCAGCTGAAATATCTGGAAGCCTGTGCATGACACAGTGACAGTCTGCAATGAATGCAGCTACTGTATTTCCACAGTAACACATTTGCCATATCCTGTCATCAGCGTGTTTCCGAAACTGTCTCAAGCAGTCATCATGGGGCAATTTCAGATCCACAGGTGGTTACAACAACTTAGTTCTCAAAAATGACCTCTGTCAAGGTGCACTGTAGCTGTCTAGTCAGGTCCACTTTTGTGCCAAGTCCAAATGCTCAGAAAATTCTTTTTGAAAGAATACTAAAGTATTTCAATGGCAATGTTAATTCAGATCCTTTATAACATTTTAGTGCCTAGAACAAGTTCTTTCAAAAACATTTTCTCTACAGAAGGAGATGTGTACTTTGATCTCTTGCTACATGTAAAATGCATACATTCTGATCTGCCAGTCACTTATCCATGAGCAAATAATTGGCAGAGTGGAAAGAACAACCAGACTGGACTAGTCTGAGGCCTTGGGCTGGCCTTGGCGTGGGCATAAACTCTGTGGCTGCCAGGAACAGAATGCCTCTGGACTTCAAATGAGAGGTGACACTCTTTAGGGTCCCTTCCTACTTTAAAATTGTGTGACTTTTTTTTTTTTAATTTATCTATTCAAAACCTTTTTTTATGCTTCTTTTCTACTAAGTTGGAAAATCTTTAAGAGGCAAAAACTAAAGGCATAGTTTTTTTAACTTATTTTCAAGTTTTAAATTTTACAATAATTTTTAAATTATTTTTAACTTAAACAATTAAATGTTTTAAACATAAAAAGTATCTTTTAGAATTTTTTAATTTTAAAAGGAAAATAACAGAAAAAAAAACAATAAAATGCAATGTAGAAGAACACAAATTAGATGTACCATGTACCTGGTATGCAGTATTTACTGACACTGAGAATGAGAATTTATTTACTCGGAATTTCCTGGTAGCAAAAGAAAAAGGAAGAAATAATGAACTATATTTTCACTGTCTAATTTTATTTCAAATGAACTGCATACATTTTTCTAGACAAATAAGCATTTCTTGGAAATAAATACTTCTAGACTGATATATTAACCCTAAAGTCAATTAACCCTAAAGTTAATTGAAACATTTTTAAAAGGACACTGTTATGCACTAGAGAAATACAATTTAGTAAGAAATAAGTCATCCTGTATAAGCAATTTGTATGTCTATTAACTCAACTGCCTATGCTATGCTTTTTTCCCCTCATTGGTAAAGTCTATTGCCGTATTTTAAATCAATGTCTCTGATTTTATTTTTCAGAATGACAAATCCCCAGGACGATCTGCGAGTCGATCAAGTAATATTTCAAAAGTAGGTGAACTTTATTTATTTTCTTAATTATTTATTGGTTTTCATATTCTATGAGATCAAGTACATATTTTATAAAGTTTAATCTATAATTGTTATCTGTGAACAACACACAAATATGACTTGTTAATAGTTTTAACTACTTCAAGCTTTTACTGTGATAAAAAGACGTGATTTTATACAACAAAATGAGTTAAGCTATTTTTTCCTCTTCGGTGCTGTATGCAAAAGATAATTTGCTACTTTCAGAGTGTCACGCAAAGTATTTTTTTTCTCTCATTTCAAGCATCATTGAGCTGCCACATACCTAAGTTGAAACTGTATCAACATTCATAGTACAATTTCCATGAATTTAATTTTTTAGGAATTTGGGCTCGACAATACTAGAATTTATTCTTGTCACTAGGGCAGGTTTTAGAAATAAATTTAAGACTTTAGTTTGGTTATATTTACTTTAGAGTTAACATATGAAAAAAAATATTCCCTAGACTATTTATAAATCCAATCAAGATAACAGAGTGTTGAAAAAATTTGCGTGTGGGCGAGATACTCCAGATTTTTATTTTGCCTCAAAAACAAAAATTAAGAGCTATTCTCTAAAATAAGGCACTATACGATGTGTAGTGATACTTGAGGAGTGAAAAGTCATTTAGACCCATTCGTCAAATTGGAAATGTATGATTTCCAAAAGTTCAGTTCGGACAAAGATATATTTACCATGAATAGAACTTCCATTACAGGGCCCCGCATTTGCCAGCACCCTTCCACAGCCTTAATCTTAATTTTGTATATGTATTTTTGTATGTTTTTCCTTTAAGAGGGCCCCCAAATAAGCATAAACTTTAGGCACTAAATATCCTAGATCTACTTCCAATTTAAGGATTTTATTTTCTTTGTTTTGTTCTCAGAAACAAAAGACTTTATTACTCATTAAAAAATAATAGCAGTAGCCAGAGTATCAGTGTTTTCTTACGCTGAGGCCACTTCTTCCAAGATAATGCCAAAATGCATTGGTGACACCTGCAAACACACTAGGTTGATTGCAGGAACAGAACTCTAAGCTTAGGAAACCCTAATATTTTAATAGACAGTAGGCATGCTTGTCTTTTCCTCCATAGGGAGACCATATCTCTTTGTTACAATGCTATCCACTGTACAAACATCCTTAAAAAGATATTCCAGAACAACAGCAGTCAATGTCTCTGCTTGTAAGACATACAGAGATGCAAGAGGCCCATAGAGAACTGTGTCTCAGTACATGGTACTGAACATGTCTAATCACATTCAAATCTGGCCACCTTCATAGATACTTGAGAGGCATGTGGCTTACTAGTTAAGAATACTAACTGTGAAGAGAGAATCTGAGTGCAAGTCACTGCTTACACAGACTTTTTACTTAATGTAACTGAGACAGTCACTTAACCTTTCTAAGACATGGTTGCCTCCTGTGTGACTTGAGAATGGTATCAGTCTCCTGAAGGAGGTTTTAAGTGGTTATAAATTAAAACAATACCTTTCAAATGTCTGTTATCTTAGTCACATCATGAAGAGCCTTTCCTGCAGCTGCAAAACACTGTCATCCTTCTGTACTTGAATGTTAATGTTGACTTAGAAATTTATAAACAGGACTGACAACTCTTTGGCACACCAAATATTGTTTCACTGTCCAGGATTGAAATTATATCTGTACTTCTAAACTGCTGAGTTTGACATAATGCAGCTTGTTCATAACCTTTTAGCCTTTATAATTTATTCTTTAAGAAGTAAAAAGGTCAGGAGCGTCGTTTCCCTTCCCTGAGTGTTCCAGGCTGTGATGTGTACTAGTTGTGTCACTGTGTAGGAGACAATGATGAGAATGCATTCCATTTAGATAGAAATGAAAAGCTCTCTTCTTAAATGGTCACTCTAATTGTACAATAGCAAAAATCAACTATCTCTGTCTTATAGGAATAAAAAGATTTTAGTGTGCATATGTTTATTTTATTTAAACCAATATAACTTTACTCTTACTTATGTGCAAATGACAGTAACAAATGCTAAATACATTGATGAATTCTTACTACTTTTTCATAAATTACTAAGTAATAAATTCTTCATTAAGACTATATAACTTACCAAATATGAAGTGGCAAAATCTAGCAATATTGTAGTCTTTTTACTTTTAAAGTGGTGGAGAAGAAAACATTAAAATGGAACAAGGATTTTTTTCTCTAATTTTGTCAAAATAATTTTTATGTCAAAAAAACTGCTTTTAAAGGGTGTGATAATCAGTATAATAGAGTAATTAAGAGCGTGGATTCCAGAGTAACTGCTCAGGAATTAGTCACTTTATCTGTAGAAGGAGAATCTATAACAGTATCTACCTTTTAGAGGTGTGCTTTGAACACTGGCACCTGTGTAAGAATTAGCTATTCTTATCATAGGGCTCTTAATATTGATATTTCTGTAACAGCACCAAATAAGTGCTCAGTAAGTCTTTTCTTTAAGCAAGTGATTATGAGACACAGGTTACAATATATGCATTTTTTCTAAGTGGAATAAGAATAAATAAGAGACAGACAGGATTAAGGAAAATATAATTATGTAAGATGTGATCTGACATAATTTTATTGAAAAAAATACTGCATAATCCTGATTCCTTAAAAAGTGTGTGTCTCTGTGTGTGTGTGTGTGCACATGCATAAGACAGTAATAAATTATCTTAAGTCAGTAGCAGTATTCCATTAGGAATCTTATTCTATACTAGAAATGGAGCAATGAAAAAAAATCCCATTCAGGTTCTCAGTGAGCTTACAATGAAGGAGTTGAAATCTAATATATAATATATAATATAATTAATTAATATGATATAATAATATAACATAAAAGTTGAAACGTATAATTCTCTGTGCAGAAAAGATAACCATGAAAGCCTGAGACTCTTATCCTTAGAAAGGCCTGTAGACAGGTTGGTCCTTTGCTGGCATCTGGGAACTTGGATTTCAGGAGTGGGGTTCCACCTTAATTGATAAGGATGGTTCACTTTGCCTAAACTGTGCGAACTATATGATTTATAATAAACATCTGCTTTCCTATGGGAGTCTGGAATTTTAGTACATAACTGTGTGACTAGCCACCCATAAAAATTTGGGGCACTGAGTCTCTAATGAGTTGCCCTGGTGGATAATACTTCACATTGTTGTCCAACTCATGAATTACTACATGAATTAAGTGCATCCTGTATTACTCCACTGGGAGTAAATTTTTGGAACTTTGGAAGTTTGCTCTTGGTTTCCTCTGGACTTCACTCCATGTGTCTTTTCTCTTTGCTGATTTTTCTTTGTATCCTTTCACTGTCATAAATCATAGCCCTGAGTATGACTATAAGCTTAGTCCTGTGAGCTGTCCTAGAAAAATCACTGAACCTGGACGGGGTCATACGAAACCCTTATGCATTAGCCAAAAAAATACAGATAGGAGGCTGTGGGAGTTTAGAGAATGACCACTTCCATTTGGCAAAGAAAAGACAGCATCAGAGAAGGTGTATTGGGAGAATGGTTTATAAACAGGGACGTGAAGAATGTATGTGACTTGATCGATAAGAAAGTATATTCAAAGGGATATAAGTACAAGGCATGGAAGCTAGAAAGCATGGATTATAAAGAAAAAGGGAAATAAATGTTTTTAGAGGCCTTTGACATGGAACTTTGATAATGGGATACATTCTCTTTAGTCTATTCATTGTAAGAGTTATCTGGCTTGGAAGCATAGGGATAGATTTTTTTTTTATGCCTACAGCATCTGGTCTTCCTAGGTGGTTTCCCATCCAAGTACTAACCAGGCCTGACCCTGCTTAGCTTCCGAGATCAGCCATCGGGCTTGTTCAGGGTGGCATGGCCATAGACCATGGACCATGGCTCCACTGGGGTGTGAACCCAGGCCCTTCTACATGTAAAGCAGACGTGCTAACCGCTACACTGTGGAACCACATCCACATAGGGATAGATTTAGAACTCATCAGGATCCTTGAGACTTTTTTAGTGAATATGAACACCACTAAACATTATTATTTCTGCTATTCGGGACTCTATAAGCATGATCTTGCTCTTGTGAATATGAAATATCCAAGCCAGGGCAAATTATAAATGTTGAATTGTTAATGAACATTAAAAATGTACTCCTTAGTCTTCACCTCTGAATCTTTGTTCCGTATATTATTCAATTGAAATTACACTTTGAGTTATGCTAGCAATTATGCTTTTTGGTCATTCCAACTTTTGATTTTTTGTTAGTTTGTATTTCTAATTTGCTTTAGGATATATAGATTTGTGATTCTTTTTTTTTTTTCCTATTCTAATAAGGTTTATGTGCCTTGGATATGTTAAAGTTCACCTAAAAGTTCAAAAGAAGCTATATATGTTTAAAACAAAACAGTGTATGTGAGATTGTCAGAATATCTTCAGTGTGAACATGGCAGCATTCATTTATCCATAATTTACTTTTCTTTTCTTTTCTTTTTTTTTGAAAAGCTGCTTTTGATATTAGTGCTTGTTGCTGTTTTTTAACATGCATATGACTCACAAATAAGTTCCTCAAGATGCTAAATTAGCCAAATTTGGCCTTTCTTTTATTTCTTCTTGGGTGATGGATCATTACATTCAACTAGCAACAGTGTATTATATATTTCAGAAGAAAACCCTTTCAAAAGCAAACTGTCAAAAGGAAAGAAAGCTTTGTACTTTCAATTCAAATCAACATCTAGGATTTTCTTTTAAATGAAACACTTTATGCTTTTTTGAGCATAAATTTTGAGCTCTGTAGGAAACAGCTCACAAAATCCAATCTACTTATGAAAAAATTCAAAAACCATACTACCTTAACAAAATGATGTTTCAATTAGTTTTCATCATTTCCTATTATATTTCCAAGACTTCATTTACTTGACAAAGGTTCATCTAAATTGTTCAGTTGGGCTAGAAATATCACATATACTGTGAAGATAAAGGTGCTATATAGTATATAAA